ATAAAATAAAATAGATTAAACCAATAAAAAAAAATTATGAAAAGAGGGAATACTAAAATAAGTTCCTAAAATTAAACGAAATTAAAAAAATTATATAGCAATCTTATCTAAGAATTAAAAGATATTTAACTTTAAAAATTATTATGAAGCAAAGAAAAAATATGTTTCTAAAAATTTTAATAAATTTATACACATATATATTTTTCTTTTTAGAACAATAAAAACTAAAAGTTAAAAGAAAATTTTATTATACAAAAAAAAACGTATTTAAAAAAGGAAAATAAGATATAGTTAGTTCCTTAAAATTATTTTTCTTTTTAAGATAACTTCGTCTCGCCCAAAAAATTTGTTTGTTCCAACACTTTAGATTTTAATCGAAAAGCCTTTTTTTTAATTACATAATATAAGAATTGAAAAATTAAATTAAAAAAGAAGAAAAATAGTTAACTTAAAATATAAGTTTTTAAAAATTAAGCCCAATTATTTTTTTAATAGTAAAATCCAAAAATTAAATTGAAAGCGGACAAAATAAAAATAACATAATAAAATCTTTCTTAAATTCAAATCAAATTTACAAAAATATATATATATATTTTTCTAAATAATGTAATCTAAAAATTAAAAGAAAAATGAATAAAAAAATAAAAAAATATTAATTAAAACAATAAAATAAGTTCCCAAACATTAAATTAAATAAAACAAAAATATTTTCATAATTTTTTGGGTCAAATTCTTATTTATTATGTTTGCTTGCAATAAATATTGTACAAAACTCCCTGATGAAGACGCGAAAGCCTTGAAACGCGTAGAAGGGAAAAACGGAAATTTAATTTTTTCGCTTTTAACTCTATCGGCCGAAGCAACTCCAACCCAGCAAACAAAAACAAATATTTAATTTTTTAAATTTGAAAATAAAAAATTATAAATTAAATTAATTCGAAAAAGAAGAAAAAAATTTTAAAATATGTTTCTAAAAATGAGCCCAAATTATTTTCTTTATTGTTAAAATAATAAAATCTAAAATCTAAATTAAAAATGAAAAAACTACATTAAGAAAAAAGAAAAGTTTCTAAAAATCATATAAAATTTACAAAAAAAAATATTTTTCTTTTAAAAATAATGTAATCTAAAAAAAAAAAACTATATTAAAAAATTAGAAGTTTTAATTAAAAAAAGAAAATAAAAAAGTTCAAAAAATCAAATGGAAGAACAAATAATTTTTATAACCCTACAATCTAAAAAAATTTAAAAATAAAATAATCAAATAACTTAAAAAAAATTAAATGAATTAAAAAAAATGTATTATTTTTATTTAAAACAGTAAAATCTAAATACTAAAGAAAATAAAATGACAAAAAGAAGAAAAAAAAATTAATCAAAAATAGAAGTTTCTACAAGTTTCATATATTTTTTTCTTTTTAAAACAAAATACAAGAATTAAATTAAAAAAGACAAAAAAATTAAGTTTCTAAAAATTAAATTGAATAAAAAAATATGTATGTATTTTTTAACAATAAAATCCTAAAATTCCAAGAATCTATTATAAATTAAAACGAAAGAAAAAATGTTGATCGCATTTTTATTCACCACAACCACTATCACACCCTGTTCTGAAATATTTCCAGTGCATTAAAAACTGTGCAACTTTGTGAAGGAAGGTTTCAAACTTAGAAAAAATCTGTAGGCACTATGAAAGATACGGTTTCCAGAAAATGCACAAAAACTGTTTGCGTTTCCTTTTTCGAATCTAGGAAGCCAAATAAAATATCATTTTAATTGTATGAGAATTTTCAAATTTTTTACCTTTTCCTTATTTATTATATTATTTTAACTCTTCAGGAAACATTTTTTGTATATGCCGTGCGTCGGCATTTTTCAACTTCACGCATTAATGGCATTAGTTTAAAAGTGTACGTATGTAGGGGTCACGCCGTCAATATCAAATTATTTTTAAAAAATGTCCCGCCCTTATCGAACCCTTAACGATAATTTTTAATAAGTCTCTATCCAATAGGGAGTTTATTAACGATTGGAAAAAGGCCTCTATAACCCCAGTTTTTAAAAGTGGCAATAAGAATGATGTTAGCAATTATCGACCGATTTCGAAATTGTCCACTGTCCCTAAAATCTTCGAATGCGTCATCAAAGCAAAGTTGTCATTCTCAGTCCGTAGGTTGATATGCCCGAATCAACATGGATTCGTCAGTGGCCGGTCAACTGTATCCAATCATGCAGTTTTCACTGCAGACTGCTTTGCAGCCTTTCAGGATGGAGATCAGGTTGATGCGATCTATACTGACTTCTCTAAAGCCTTCGATAGAGTTTCCCATAAAATCTTAGTGGCTAAATTATCAGATATGGGCTTCCACTCCACTTTTTTGCAGTGGATTCGGTATTATTTAGAAAATAGACAGTGCGTAGTTGCCTTTGACAACGTATCTTCACAACCTTTCGTCGCGCAGTCAGGCGTCCCCCAGGGTAGCATACTGGGGCCTTTGCTATTTACATTATTTATTAATGATGTCAGCTCCTGCTTCCAAGCTTCAAAATTCCTTTTGTACGCCGACGACCTTAAAATCTACTCTACGATTAGAAACTTGCATGACTCCTGCGCACTGCAACTTGAGCTTGATAAGCTTTACTCGTGGTGCACCCGAAATCGGCTTTTTCTGAATGTGAAGAAGTGTTTTCATTCCACATTCACTAGAAAATATAGCCCGTTACTAACTAGTTACAAAATTTCTGGCTCAACCCTCGATCATGTTACAGACTTCAAAGATCTTGGTGTATATTTTGATTCCAAACTTCGATTTACCACCCACGTCAACTATGTTGTTTCGAAATCGTACGCTATGCTTGCTTTTGTAAGACGTAACTGTTCAGCTTTCTCGGATCCATACACGCTCAAGATGCTATATACTTCATTAGTAAGATCTCGGATTGATTACGAGACCGTTTCACGTAACCCATATTAACCGTATAGAGCGAATCCAAAAAATATTTATTAAGTTTGCACTCCGTTCTTTAAACTTTACTGATCCTATACCTCCCTACGAACCCCGTTGTCAACTTTTATGCCTGAAAACTTTACAGTCCAGATCTTCCTTTCTCTCTTGCAGCTTTGTGTATAACCTGATAAATTATACAGTTGACTGCCCTGCCCTACTGGAGAAACTAAACTTTTTAATTCCTGCGCAGAATCTCCGACACGTCCCTCTGTTTTACACTGAGTTTCCTAAATTTGATTACCTTAAATTTGCTCCCACACCAAGAACTCTATCTGAATTAAATAATATTCCTAACTTCGACCCGTCCCTGTCGCCTGGAGCTGTCCGGAGCCTACTGTAGAATTATTTTAACTAATTACATTCAACAATTTTTATGAGCTCGAGGCCGTTTTCAGTGAAAACTTATTGTGGAAAAGCCACAATAATTTGAAAAAATGGTAGAAGTGATAGCTATTTCGGAAATCACCACATTTCCTCATCAGTCTTCTTTCAGTAGGATTCGAACCGACGATCACCACTGACTCAGCCAGTTGCCTACGCACTGTGCTAAGTTTGTCTTGTTAATTCTTGTTGCTTATTTTCCACTATTTCACTTTGCTAAGCCAAGTACAATCAAGCGCAGCTATTCCGCTGCAATTCACTTGATCATGTGGTTGTTGGTTTTGTTGGTTTTTGTTAATATTTCTATTATTAGAATGTTTAACTTTTTAGGTGTGCTCGTCCTTAAGTTATTTGTTTTTGTTATTTTTATGGCCTTTATAACAATTATATTCAACAATTTTTATGAGCTCGAGACCGTTTTCAGTGAAAACTTATTGTGGAAAAGCAACAATAATTTGAAATTATAAAAATGATAGAAGTGATAGCTATTTCGGAAATCACCACATTTCCTCATCAGACTTCTTTCAGTAGGATTCGAACCGACGATCACCACTGACTCAGCCAGTTGCCTACGCACTGTGCTAAGTTCGCCTTGTGAATTCTTGTTGCTTTTTCCATTGTTTCATTTGTTAAGCCAACTACAATCAAGCGCAGCTATTCCGCTGCAATTCACTTGATCATGTGGTTGTTGGTTTTGTTGGTTTTTGTTAATATTTCTGTTATTAGAATGTTTAACTTTTTAGGTGTGCTCATCCTTAAGTTATTTGTTTTTAGGCAACTGGCTGAGTCAGTGGTGATCGTCGGTTCGAATCCTACTGAAAGAAGTCTGATGAGGAAATGTGGTGATTTCCGAAATAGCTATCACTTCTACCATTTTTTCAAATTATTGTTGCTTTTCCACAATAAGTTTTCACTGAAAACGGCCTCGAGCTCATAAAAATTGTTGAATAATATTGTTATAAAGGCCATAAAAATAACAAAAACATTTAACTAATTACTTTAACTAGTACCTAAGCAATTCCTTTCTGTAGTCAGTAAGAAATTAATTATTTCATATGACTTACAAATAAATAAATAAATAAAATTAAGTACACATGTGGTTTTGTTTGTATGACGGCTGTTACAGGTGACGCCGTTAAGAATGCGTAATCACAGTTGGCGCCGAAAGTAAACGGCTTTAATTGTGCTTGAAAGCCATCACTCGAAACAGGTTCACTTTTCTTCACAAGTCACTCTGAAATACTTCACTTTTGGTGTGTTTTCCCTTTTCTCGAAAATAGCAAACGGCAGCACTGGTATGCATACCCAGCTTTAAAACTGTTGGTTTCGCAGCAACAGTTTGAGCACCACTCGTTTCTCTTTAATCCCTCAATTTCAAAGCAAAATAAATTTCACTCGCGTTGAGTTGGCAAGTGTTCTTTTAAACACTAACAAAATTCCTGATACCATATTGAAGCTTTTGCTGAGGATTTCTTGTGTCTATATAACGCAATACTGCTATAAATGTTATGTTATTTAACGCAAAGAGGTATTTATATGGATACCTTTGCCAGAAACGGCAGCACTGTTTGGGGCTGCCACAGAAGAATGCGATCAAAAGGGAATTCAGAAGAATTTAACTTGTCGTCTGTCAACGTCGTCGTCGGGTGTATGTAAACGCGGTCTGCGCCTGTCGCCTTTTTCTGCACAAGAAATTCTCCAGTAACATTACGCTCGGTAGTTTTATTAATAAATAAATGTATTTAATTTTCTGCTGTGTGTTATACAAATTATGTGTGAAAAGCAAAGTTCATAAATAGTAGCAAAAAAGCTGTGAAATTGACGAGCTGGCGCATAAATTGAAAGGAATAGAAAACGAGAAAAAACCTGTGTGCAGAAGAGAAGTGAAAAGATATTCCTTTGTGTCGCTGCTTGGAATTCGTCGGGTACTTGCCAGCGTGTTTTTGTGTGTGCGCGTTTATGTTAGCAAGCAGGAATTGGGGGAACTGAAAATAAAACCTAACAAAAATCAAGTGAACTTTCTGCTTATATGGCCATCAAGTGAGTGTTGGAGAAACAAAAACAAATTGCTGCATAGATTTGGTTTAAAAAATTCGTGATGATCATAGAAGGCAACAGTGTGCCGCTAACGAAAACATTCATTCACCTTTTGTAGTTGTTGTTCTTGAGGCTATAACCTTTTCTTGCACCCCCTCACACAAAGAGGACAAAGTATGTAGGTAGTTGTTGCTAAGAGACGTCTAACAACCCGTCCAGCCAGGCAAACGATGCTGCATTCCGCGGTGTGACCTGGCGATTTAGGACTATTGCGTTTGCACAGAACAATGAACGTTGGCATCGCTTTGGGTTAAGATATGCTAACTGCCCTGTGCACTGATTTCCTAGCGCTCACATGGAAAAGCATATATAGGTATATACATATCGCTGCCTTAATATAGAAAGAACCTATGTATCACATGTCGTAGGCCGGTGTTTTACTTTATTTAAGCGAATTGTGAGTTGGCTTTCCTTTACGGCGGGTGTCCTTTTGCTTACTGCATCGAATTGCATCTGGCCCTAAAGTTTGGTAGTTTTCTGTCTAGATTTTCGAACTACCAATTTCGAGCCATTCAGTCAACAAATAATCGAATCCTTTTTGATACAGCGTTCAATGGACCAAAATCATTTAACTTTCTGTATTTGTATTCCATGGAGAACTCGAAGATGTGTCAAAGACATCGTCCATGAAATACAAAAACAAATCACATGGCAAATAAATCCAGAGGGGAACAACAAACGCGGAATATCTATGTTATATATAAGAAATATATATACCTACATACACTGCTGGCTATATATATATGTACTATATCGTCGTTTAAAGAACAAAACCGCGTAACTGACATTTGCTGGAGAAAATTGGATTTGCTCACACAAGCTCTTGGCTCAATCCCTATCCATTCGTCCTGAAATATACTTGTACTTTGTACTTTAACCGACGATATATGTACATATGTATGTATATACACATATGGCACACCGTCTTCAAAAGATTTACAACTCAAAATTATACGTTTGTCAGAAAATGCGAAAAACTATCTATATCTTAGCATATAATCATATGGGCAATGGCGACATTACTTTAGGGTTTTGTCAAATTGTAACACACTTTATAAAAGCTCGGTGTATATTTTTAGCGCATAATCTCAAATATGCCAAATTTGGAGTTGTTACTCTTTTGAAGACGGTGTGCGATATGTATATCTATAAAAAACACACAATAGGCGAATGGAGAGACGACGAATAAGAAGATAGGAAAAATGCTCGAAATGAATTGAATTTGATGCAACAAAAATAAGAACAAATACAGTAAAAGCAATAGCAGCAATAACAATTCCCAGATAGCACATGGGTCAGCGCGTTACTTTTCAACCGTAAGAGGGGTATATGATTTCCTTCGAGAACAAAACTTGACAGCTAGCGCAGAGAAGCGCAGCACGTTAGCAACAGCGTCATCACAGAGCCGCAACAACAAACGTGCATACACAAATAACAATTCGCTGAAATATGCCGATTCAGCCGGCGCTGGCAGCGACGTGGCGCACGAATGCCTTGTGCTGAGAACGAAAACAAACAGCAATAAGTTCACAATAGGCATTGCCAGATCGTAGCAATATTTTTTAGACTTATTTGTAGGATTGTAAGCTTGCGATGAGGATAAATTAATTAAACTATTATTTTCACCTCGTATAAAAGCCGTAAAAAGCCAAAGTAATTGAAAATGCTGAATGGAATATCTCTGGCTTAAAATTTTAGCAAATTGAAGTATTAAAGCCATCAGTTAAGCAGACTGTGGCCCTTATTATGAGTTGCATTCGATTTTCGATCTTCGCTGGTTTTCTTTCTTTTTGGCGGGTAGACACTAATTTTAAACAATTTAACAATTTCATGCAGTTTTAAAAAACACAAGCTCGAAAGGCTGCTTTTACTTGTGAAAGAAAATCCCAATACTCAGTTGGCATGATCTCTGAGAACAAATCATAGAGCTGTGGATAGTTTTAAAATATTTTAAATAGGTTCGGCTCACAAACGCCTTTTTAGTCAGTCGGAAGATTTTAGTAAATCTGTAGACAAATTTCTTAAATATATTTTATGTCAAAATATATTGTAAAGACTACACTTAAACTCTCTTAAACATTTACTACTCCTGGCCAGTTCACTAAACTCTCATCCTCTGACGAATCGTTGAACCCCAGAACTTCGTTGGACTAACTTTTACCATGTTTTTATAAACTTGCTTTCTTTTTTATTTCATTTTAATTTGCATAAATTTACATAAATATGCATAAGCACACTATTTAGTTTGCTCGATTTGTAAGCAAAGCTTCTCAGCGGTGAAAAATATACTATTGTGAACAACATAAACGAGCGAAGTTCACAATAGCGCTATTCTTCATCGAATGGGCGCCATAATACCAAATGCAAATTCGTTCTATCAGCACTTTCGACCACAGTCGAAGATCGAATGTAACTCATAATAGGGGCCTGTGTGTATTTGCATGGAGAGCAGCGGAGTGGCAACCGTCTCAACTTTTGTCGCAAGTGGCCATAACTGGCCGTCTCCACAGGATAAAATTTATTGCTGCGCAGCTGTTGTTGTTGTTGTAGCGGCACTACTAAGCCCCGCCTGTTTCGGGTCAACTTTTTAATCATTATCGTCGAGCTCAACTAACGGTAGGCCCAGGAAACGAGCTGTTTCGATGGGGTCGGACCAAAGGGAGAGGGGTGTTAGTTGAGTCGGATTGAGCTGGCATGTGAAGAGGTGGTTGGTGTCGCGGGGGGAGTCTCCACATGCCGGGCACTCATTTGGGATGTTTGGGTCGAGTCTGGACAGGTAGCTTTTTAGGCGGCTACAATATTCAGACCGTAACTGAGCCAGAGTAACGCGGGTCTCCCTAGGTAATTGAAGCTCCGTCTCTTCCACAGGTGGTGATTGGGCTCCGATAACGACATTCTTAGGCCTGGAGTCGAGGTAGGTGGAGACTGACTTCCTATGAATGACGTTAATCGCTTGTCTGTACGTCATTGGGTCCAGTGGTTGGTCTGTGTAGGTCTGGACTGCGTCCTTGTACACGAATAGGTGCCCCCTGACGTGCCTGGGCGGAGGCTCCTCCTCCAGCAGTGGTCTGTTAGGGTGTTCGCTTCTGTGACACCCCACCAGAAACTGCTTACTGAGCATTTTATTGTGTTCCCGTACGGGGAGCACTTGGGCCTCGCTGTGTAGGTGGTGCTCAGGCGTCATCAGAAGGCACCCAGTCGCTGTCCGGAGTGCGGCGTTCTGACAAGTCTGTATCTTCGTCCACTGCGTCCAACTAGTCCCCGGTGACCAAACAGGCGCTGCATAATTTAGAACCGGCCGGCCAATTGCCTTGTATGTTGCCAGCAACGTTTCTTTGTCTTTGCCCCAAGTGCTGCCGGCGAGCGACTTGAGGACCTTGTTGCGGCTCTGTACTTTGTTGACAACTGCAGTTGTGTGCGCGGAGAAGGAGAGCAGGCTATCAAAGGTAACCCCTAAAATTTTTGGGTTGTTCACCGTCGGTATAGGTGTGCCGTCGACGTGAATGCCTAATTCTAGCCTGACCTCCTTCGTCCAGGTGGTGAAGCTGCCAGCTGCCCAGCTGTCATTTTGGTCGCTAGATATAAGTTATATCAGCGGCAATATTTGTGTGGGCTTTTTTATATCTTGATATAAGCATTTGTATGATAGCTTCGAAAACGTATTTTTGCCGGATTTAATCGCTTAAAAAATTTAAAAAATAGGCTATTTTACAACCAAATACATATGTAATTACAAATATTTTAACAGGAAACAGCTCAATTTTTGCTTTTATATTAAAATAATAATGATGTTGCAGCCACGAAGTTTTCGTGCAAATGAAAATGTAGCTGTCAAACTACCAAATTGCCGGCAATAGATTGCAAAATATAAGCACTGATATATATTGGCAAATTATATTCTGACATATGTATCAAGATATAAACTTTATCCTGTGGAGACGGGCAGTAAAGAGTGGCTGACAGTCGGGTCTACGTAACCGGAATGACCTCAATTTATATCTGGCCAAGAACTGTCACTCCAGCAGCACTCCCTAAAACCCTTTGGGGAACTTGTATGCTGCTACAACAACAACAACAACACTGGCTTATTTTTGTTAATAGCCACAACATCTTTATTGTGGCGTCTCTACGTTTACGTATTGCCGTAAATTGTATGACACAAAATCCCAGAGAATTTTACTAAAGGATAATGGCGCACAGATTTGAAGAACCAATCATTTAAATTTTAACCAATGTGATATGATATTTGCACTTTCCAAAGTGATCAAGCTGCTGACCCCCCAAATAAGGTCTGACTTCCTGGACGCATCAAAGTGGTATCTGATGGTTATCAATAGCCGTAAACCCATTGTTGCTAATTTATTCCCTTATTCAACCTACTATGTACTATCGAGTGCAACTGATTCGCCGCTATTTGAACTTAACAGGGTGTTATTGTTAATTCCATACATGGAATAGATCCATAGTATAGTTTCAGGCAGGCTCATCCCAAACTATTTATTTGTCAACTTTATTGTGGCTCATTAGTATTTATTTCAATAGTGTTATTGAGCTTCTCATTGAGATTTTTACTTAAGTCACTAAGGTCTTGCAATAATTTAGCTAATTTATTTTTTTTTAAATAGATGTTAGCTTCAACTTTCGACTGCTTTCATGCCAGAAAAGATACACAAATAGTTAACATATATAAAAGTGCATACACTCAACCCCTCTTGCTGTTTCTGCTTTATAGCATTCTTTCGGCAAAGCGACATACTTGTTTAAATTTTTAGCTTTCAACAAATCTACAACTGTATGTTGGGCTTATCATAGGTACCTCCCGCAGTAATGCAGTCCAATCTCCACGGAGCTCGTTAAGCTCAACGGATTAACTCATGCCTTAATCACTGCCCTGAATGCACGCACTTCAGTACCAATTGGCAATGTGTGGTGGACACACTTAC